CTAGCAAAAAGTTGCCTGGTACAATCATAGGTATTCAATCATAAATATTTGTTGGCTTTCTGAATGAATGCATGAGTGAAGAATGAACGCTGCTCTATTTTCTGCCTTGTACTGAAGTAAAAAAAAAGTTCTGAAACTTTCTGATTTTTGGCAAAAGGTAATCTAAAGTAATTCTGATCTTACTAAGATTTTAAGAAAATTTCTTCTCATGGGCAAGATGGACTAATTGCCATAGGTGACGGTACCGAATTCTATACCTAAGTAACAATTACTCAGTATACTAAGAGCAATCTTGAGGGAAATGTTCAGAAGTTCTATCTTGATCAGCATTTTTACAGAGACTTCAGTGAAGGTACTATTATTAGCATGACATGCTGCGGGTTTGGCGAGGCATAACTATCACCTTGATAAGTGAGTCTGAATCTGAAGAGATCTGGAAGGGATAGAAGGATGAGATAAGATAAAATAATAAGATAAAATGTGATAAGATAAATGTAGAGTCCAGTACTGGGTTCCAACAGTCATCATATTAGTGTAGAGAAAGGTAGTTTAGCAGTCCAACTGTGCGGTTGTGTTTAACTCTGCAGAATGCTTTTGTTGCCATAGGAAAGTAATATGTTGGGCATCAGAGAAGTCATTGAGGAAGAGGGGCTTATGGTCATGTTCTTTCTACTCCTGCACCACATGAAATGTTTCTTTTGCCCCGATCACATGTTCTTGTTGGCTTAACAACATTTTGGGTCGTGTGGAGTATAGATTGTCAAACTAAAGCCTTCAGGCACTTGTTTTTGTGAATAAAATTTTCCTGGACCACAGCCGTGCCCATTTGTGTACTTATTTTCTGTGACTGCTTGCTTGCTTCAGTGGTAGTGTTTGTTACAGAGACTGTATGGCCTGCAGAGCCTAAAATATTTACTATCTGATGCTTTCCGGAAAAGCTTTCCAACCTCTGGTCTAAAGACTAGACCTAGGTGAGGAAGAAGATTGAAGGCATGGCAAGAGGAGCAGCAAGAGGGACATGAGATGTTTAAGCAGGTGAAGAGAAGAAGTGGGCAGGACAGGGAGAGAGCAGTCTTCAAATATTTGAAGCACTATTGTTCGGAAGAAAAATTGGACCCCTGTCTGCTTAACTTCGTAAGACAAAATGAAAACAGGATAGAAAATACGGGGCAAGGGGAGGATCTTGTTAGTGTATAGAGAAGTTAGTTTAACATGGGTTGCGTTGCTTCTGGAAATAATGAGTTTTTTGCCCCAGAGGCATTTAAAAGGAGGCCAGATGATTGTTGTACCTGTTTGCATAGGCGAGGGTCAGGCACATAAGACCTAGACATCTCCTGAACGCTTATGATTCTGAGATTTTCTCAAACCCAGGCTATGGTTTTCAGCCATTTCTCCAGGGTGATAGCTTCATCCAGCCTTGCAGTCTGGAGATCAAGCAAGTCACAGTGAGCTTAACGGTGGATTGCCTACTGGGTTAAGATACTCGGATATATACCATTCCAATAGAAAATAAAAATATGTTTACTGAGCATTAACAAATGCCTAAATCTAGTTTAACATCTTTAAAAGTGTATGTTTTACTTATTTTTTCATGCATGTGGAAGGTCTGAATCATTTTTTTTCCTCCTGTTGACTCACAAGACAGTTTTAAGTTTCTTTGCTTATACTAAGTGATACGTGATCTTGAAAAATACTCAGGTGTGTAAGGCTAGAGCACGGAGTGTTCTTTAGGTTTATTGGTTGCTACCTTTTGTGATCTCCTATTACATTTTCTTGCTTACTTGAGCTTAAATGTGGAAGATCCATTTAGGCAGACTGACTTTCTTATATTTAGCTGTTTGTTCTTTTCGTACTACTGATCTCCTGAAGTAGAAGTTTAATGGTAAAACTTGAGGGTTTAAAAAGAGGAGCTTTTCAGATCAAAATACTGTCATTTAAGGACATCTTTGTAGTTCTAAATTAAATAATGGAAAACTGCTGAAAGACACTCATTCAGCAAACATTCCAATTAAGAACATTGTACTTTGTACACCATATTAGGTACTCGTGTGATGTCTTAAACAGTTTCCTTCTGATTTGGCCTTCTTACAACTTTTGTACTTTGCAGTAGATGGTGGACTTGAAATGTGTGGTTTCCCCGTTTATCTGACCCACTGGCTACATCAAGTGGGTCTGGGTGCGGCCAGGGCCTCCCCCTTGTTATTGGCAGCTGCCAGGGGCTCCTACTCGTCCTGTGTCCTCAGGTGCAGAGACTTAAATCCAAGCAGTCCTGTCAGTTGAGGACCCCTCATTCTGCAGAGGTGTAGATGTAGCTGTGTCTATTATGTGGAAAGGTTTTGTGGCCTTTAGAGAGCCGTGCAAGTACCAGTTTTATTTTATTTTATTTTATT